ACATGGCCATCTCAACTGTGATTCGGTGATTCCCTTCAAGCTTTCAACCTCTCACCATGCCGTCACTACAACCCCTGCAACGCTTACCGCTCACCTCTAGCTCCAAGGCTGGGTCGTCCTCTTTCTGTTATCATGTGGCCATCTCAACTGTGATTTGGTGATTCCCTTCAAGCTCTCAGCCTCTCACCGTCCCGTCACTGCAACCACTGCAAGTCTGCAATGCTCACCACTCACCACCGCTCACCTCTAGCTCCAAGGCTGGGTCGTCCTCTTTCTATTGTCGCGTGGCCTCCACCTCAACAGCTCTACCTTGGATTCTTTTCAAACAGTCCAACTCCAAGTATCAATTAGATGCAGTTTTTGAAGCTACAGTTTTTGTGTTTTAGTGCTTTAGTCTTTCTAACTAGTAATTTCTAATTTAATTTTTGTGCTTTAGTGTTTCTAACTAGTAATTTTTGTGTCTTTAACTAGTAATTTTTAATTTAATTTTTGTGCTTTAGTGCTTTATCGTTTTTAACTAGTAATTTTAGTGTCCTATTTAGTAATTTCTAATTTAAGTTCATAGGGCTAGGTTTCCTATATTGCAAATGCTTGTTAAAGATGTGTTTGCCATTCCCATATCCACTGTACCTTCAGAATCAGCTTTTAGTACTAGTGAAAAAGTTATTAGTCCACATCAGAGCAAGTTTAGACCAAATACGATATAGGCACTGATGTGTCTTCAAGATTGGTTGAAGAAAGATCTAAAATGTATTAAATTAAGGTTATATTTTTCTTATTTTCTTAGTTTTGAATTTGTATTTTAAACTTTTATTATGTTTGAAATTCAGGTTCTGATAATAATGAGAATTTCTTCAATCTATTTGAGGAGTTGAAGGAGAATGATAATGTCGATGATGAGTCTGAGGTAAATTTTAAACAATAATGTTTCTTTATATAAATTATTATATAAAGAACTTTTTTTAAAAAATTTTGTTAATTTGGGGTATTTGTTTTTATTTCAGGAAGTTATTTCCTTAACTTAAAATTATTGATCAAGCTTAGTTTAAGTTGTTGCTGTAGAGTTTGCCTTGCTAGATTGGATGGATATGTACGCATGTGCCACTTCCTAGACTCTTTTATGTGCTTTTTGTTTATGAACTTATTGCTGGACATGTATGGCAGCAGTTTATGCTTTTTTTTTCCTATCAACTTTGTTGAATCTAAACATATATGACAGTTGCAATTTATGCTTTTATTTTTTATAAACCTTTTGTTGGATTTGCTGGATTTATATGGCAGGTTATGCCTTTTTTCTTTATGAAATATGAGCTTGTTGCTAGCGAGCTTGTTGCTAGCGAGCTTGTTGCTAGCGAGCTTGATGGACTTGCTTGACAATGACATGTATATATTGGCTATGTTATTGTGTATATTTACTGCTTGTTTATCTTGTTTTAAAATTTTACTTTATATGATTATTTGAGTTAGTTTTATTTGATGAATATGGAAACCAGTGGAGTCTAAGTAGAGCCATGTTGAGTTTAATTTTGATTAACAAGTAGTGAAAATTTTGATTAACAAGCAGTGGAATAGATGATAGTTTTATTTGATATGGACTCCGAATACCTGCAGGGACTTATTATTCCTCACAGATATGGGGACGGAGGCAATTTTTTACCCTCCGCCAAAAATCCCCATGGGGATCTCTGTACCTGACATTGACGAGGATGGGGATGGGGATGGGGAGGGGGTCCCCACCCTCGTGAGGACCCGTTGCCATCCCTAATTCCCGGCAAGTAATTGAGGTGGGCAAATTTTACTCCCATCAAAAATCCCCACAAGAATTCCTGACTCTACAATTCGTGGGGATGGGAAGGGACTCTCCTACCTCTCAGAACCCGTTGCCATCCTAGACTCCAAATAGCAATGCTAACAAAATACAAATGAAATCTTGGTACTAGTAGTATGATGTCTCATTGTCTCAAAACAAATTTGGATTAAAATTAAGCAAGGCAAAGAGAACAGAACCACAGTACACTAGCCCCTTCATTGCCATGCCATGGTTGCAAGACTATCAAACAAAAGAGGGGAAAATAAAAAAAAAAGTAAAGGTTAGATATAGAAATTATCAAAAGAACAGTAATAGCAGTGAAGGACTGGCAATTTCGAGCAGAACAAGGGGTTGGCCAAAAAAAGGCAGAACAAGACAAAGATAAGAGTAAAATGAAAACATCTTGTTTCTGTCCCTCCTTCTGAGAGATACATCCAAAAAAAAAAGTTTGATGATTCAGATTGAAAGATATAAAGAAAGAAAGCAAATGTTTCAAACCTCTCAAGAAGATATACAAATAAAACCAGTTGTATAATGTATACCATATACATGTTCGAAAACTTCAGTATCACAGCAGAAAATGTCACTCTAGACAGAAACCATGGGAAGGAGTACAATAGGAATGAAAGAAAGAACTACACAACAGGCTACAGAAAAATGATATTGGGAAAGGCATCTATTCTTGTAATAAATCTCTATTTTTCAACGGTATCTTTCATGGGAATGAAATATTTTTATTAGTTTCTCCATGGCTCTAGTACTAGATCATTCTATCATCTTCTAAACGCGAAATTTGTTCTGGTTAATCACTGCAGATGAACCTGACTTCATTACAGTTACCAGGGACTTAATCCATAAAATGGTCTATTGATCAAGCTAGTTCCTCCACATCCACACTCACAAAATACTGTGTAGACTCGCATTCCGTGAACAAATGTCTTGTTTCAGCTAGCAGTGTGACCGCAAAATGGTAGAGGAGATGAGAAAGTGCAGTCAAGAAACTGCAGGACTACTAAAAAAAAAATCA